TTTTTTTTTTTTTTTTGTGTGTTTTTTTTTTTTTAAATACTTCCCATTATGACTAAGAAGCACCCTGCTCGGCGTTTTACAGCCCATCTCTCTTGAGGTTTCTAATAATCATAATTCCACTCCATAACAAAAATGAAAATTGTGCAAAACTCAAGGTCAGAACCTGAGCTCTTTCGGTGTAGTTCCTTATTCCTGGCTCAGATAAAAAGATCATCGCTTGCCTCTGCAACCTATTCCAAACAAAGTCACCGCTGCCCAGCCCCAGTTCCAGGTCCCCTGCAGGACCTCCATCAGAGAAGAAAGACTGGGACAAAAGCTGGGGCAAAGTAGTTCAACTTGATTTAAAAAAAAAAAAAAAATTAAAATAAAATCCATAAAACAATCCATAGAAGCCAACTTTTCATCCCCTCTATCTTTGTCCAGACTGCAACATCTCAAACCCGCTGAATAAAAAAAAAATGGGTTTGACTGGTTTATTATGAGGATTTGTTGCTATCTATAGATCAGGGGTTGATTTCCGTAAGAAAAATATTAAAATTGATCACTATTTTTATTCCAAAATGGCCAGCAATACACATGCCTCCCTCAAAGAAGATTCAGAACTTTATCATATATTATGTTGAGAGCACTTTTTTCCCCCGTCTCTAACTACATCTGCATTACAGTCAGTATCACTTTAGCTAGCATTCATATTTATTCATGATATAATTTCCTAATAAAGGTAAAAGCTAAAGTGTGCAGTTACAACACCTTGTATTGATGATTCTCCAGGAAGAGTCCATTTGAAACTCTGCCAGATCTGAGAGTGAACTGAGGAACGTCTAAAGACACTCCACCAATTTTTAGGGGATGTCTCTTCCTTTTGATCCTACAAGAGCTGAAGCACCATCGTCATAAGCTGTCCTATTGCCATATACTTCCCGAGACTCAAAATCCCCATATTCCTACTAAAAGTTTCCAATAATTTTGTTTTCATGAAAGTCCTGTGACACTGTAATGGAAGATCTCACAAATTCCAAACCAGAAAACTTTAGTACCTGAGCTCTAACCAGGCAATCTTTCACTCAACAGCATAAATATCATGTGTGCGTGCATCCATCCTTTTTTTTTTTTTTTTTTTTTTTTTTTTTAACATTTTCTTATCAAATAAAAAACAAAACCGTTTGAGCATTTGCCAAAGGGAAAGAAATGGGAAAGTTTTAATCAGTCTAAACAAGTGACATTAAAAAGTAGAAACCTCACAGGAGAAAGGAGGATGAAAACACCCGTCGGTGGTTTCGTTGGGTTTCTTTAGAGCAGCGAGAGGTTCGAGATCTCCGCGCCCAGCGCCGAGGAACCTGACGTGTTCTAAGTGCTCAGCTGATCCTCGTCCAGCCGGCATCGCCGCCTGACCAAGAGTTACCTAGATAAATGATCCATACTAATAAGTTTGTGTGTCATGGGATCTATTGGGTATTCTTCCAGGACAATGCATCTGTACATGTCTAATTAAGTTTCTGATCAATACAAAAAGTTGTGATTATTTTTTCTATCTGTATCTGTCAAGTGTGTACGTACACACACACACACACACACACACGCACACAGAGTATGTTAACACAAGTACGCCTGGAATTTTAGCCTTGAGCCTTTCAGCCTACCAGTTTGCTTCCATGCACAAATACTTGAAAATTAACAACAATAATATTTACAGAGTACATCGACTCTCCAAAATGTACCGAGAGCACTCACAACCTACCAATAAGGAAGAGAAGAACGTATCTATACTTTACTGCAGTACCAGCTGTTGAGTTACTGGGGATTTCCTGCCCTGAATAACTTCTGCTACTACTATCAGTGGTAGAACTACTACTGGAAGGAAGCAAGCTAAAGCTCTTTGGCCAATTTCTTGGTTTCTGCCTGCAGAGACCTCTCAGGTTTGCACTGCTCCTGTGCAGTCTACTCACAATACTCCTTAGTGAGAAAGACATGAGAAAAATAAGCAAACTTCAGAGGTGCTTGGGCCTGTCCAACATTTACAAAGCTCATGACTCAGGCAGCAAACGGCATTTTGTGTTTCCCCTTGAGCTACTTAGCCATTAAGTCGTATTCGAGCTGCATTTTCAAGGCTTTACAAAATCATTTAGGCTTCTTGGATAGATTTAGAGGTTTCAGGCACAGAAAGAACAACTACAGTCATGCAAACAGAATATAAAACAAGAATCCTCCCCAAAATATTTCCACAACAGACCCATAATTTCTGCGATGACGTGCATCTCGGAAGATGAGTGGCCTCTATTTGAAATCCAGGAAGGACGGAAGAGCCACCCGATTCCCGTGCTGTGTGTAACGATCCACACCACTACAGAGTTTTAGGAGTCAGAGCTCTTCGGAAGAGTCTTTCATCAGCATAAGCCCTGCATCATTGTCTTCCCCCCACCCAGCTTCCATCTTCCATCAGCCACAACAGTCGCACATAAGCCTTTTCCCCCAACATTGGGCAGTTTTAAGGTTCAGCTGGACACGGGGCTGGGCCAGCTTGTCTAGACCAGGCTTTTGCCAAGGAAGGCAGAAGGTCCCTTCCAACCTGGTATTCCATGAGTCTATGATCTCCTTTTTGATCAGGTGCTGATATAACCTGCTGGCGTGTACAACAGCTCCTCTGACGTGCAACCAAAGGCACAACCCCAATGCAGCCTCTGACCAAAGAATTTTTGCGTTTTAGTGTAACTATGAAGGTTGATGTGACTCGAAGCACAGGCAGATCATCTCAGCTGTGCTGACCCCAGCTTCAGTCTCGGCATCGCATCCAAGATTGCAGGTAACGCTCCAAGACAAGCTGGACTCTACACTAGCCCTAATGCTGGTTTTAGATGCTCTCCAGCTTTTTTCAAACCATTATTCTCCCAAGGATATCATCTTCACCAGGATGCATTTCCTCTTCATTTAATTAAGGTTTCGCTTAAGCTTTTCTCAGACACCTAACAACTATTTTTATTTATAAATTTATCTGCTTAGTG